CAAGCAGAGGCTGAACAGCTGGCTGTCGGTAATGCCTTCATTTGGATTTCTGCACTGAGAATGTGGGATTCAGGAGCCCCCAGGGATGCTGAGAGTGTGAGGAAGCATCCCTGTGGGAGAAAAGCAGAGGTAAGGCATGGCCAGAGGGACCATGCCCTGGGTTTCACCGTTCTTTCCAGGCACCCATGTGGAATGGTGAAGAAAAATGGTGGGGTGTCCAATGCAACCTATTTTGCATATCCCACCCTTCAAACCCACATCCTTCCACCCTTTTCTACTGTGGTTCACACATTCTCCCATCATAACCACCCTCTCTGGGCAAGAGGCAGCAAAAAAGTTCTGAAATTAAATTGTAGCCATCTTCCAACCACCACCCGTTTTGGAGAGATCTCATGAAAAGAGGAGGATCATCAAATATTGAACCTAGGCATGCTAATCATTAAGTGGATCAGACTTCAATATTTCTAACAAGGCTAGGGCTGAATTCCAGATGAATTGAAGCAAGATGTCCACCATGTGTCGTACCTCATTCTACATGATGGCTGTGAAATGTAGGTAGTCCCTGACTTACGACAGCAATTGGGACCAGAATTTCTGTCGCTAAGCGATGTGGTCATAAAGCACAACCACATCACTTAGTGACAGTAATCCCTCCAGTCCCGGTCGCCGTCGTTAACCGAAACCCAGAGTCATTAGGTGAGGCAACTTCCTGCCAGCCCCCACAGGCAAAGTAAGCGGGGAAGTCGGCAGGAAGTTGCAAGTCCCAGGCCAGCAGGCAGGTAAGTGGCTGCTGCCAGTTGGGGGAGGGAGCAAGGGGATGCGGGGGAAGGTTGGGGAGGGTGTGAGGCGGTGTGCAAGAAGTGCCACACGCATTGGAGAGGTTGCATGGGAGTGCAGTGCAGGTCAGGGAGGGCACGCAGGGGTGCATGAGTGGCCAGTGCAGCATGAGCACAAAGGGGCTGGGCGAGGGTGCATTGGTGGGGGAGTCCCACCCCAACGACTTGCAATCTTCCCGGCCAGCTTCCCTATTGACTTTGCTTGTGGGAAGCCAGCAGGGAAGGTCGCAAATGGCGATCATGTGACTGTGGGATGCTGCAACCGCCATAAGTGCAAGCCATATCGCAATCACCTGACCACAGGGGTGCTGGGATGGCTGGAACTCTGAGGACCGGTTGTAACCACCATTTGTTCAGCACCATTGTAACTTCAAATGGTTGCTGAATGAATGATTGTAGGTTGAGCACTGCCTGTATTACAATTCCCAGTCCCTTTAATAACATCCAGCAAAGCTTGCCCAGACCAGCATATCCTTTTATCACAACTCCTGGAACCTGTCCAGTTGAACGCCATCACAACATACAGTTCATGTGGGAACTGCCTCTTGTTTTCAGAATCTTTTGTAATGTCTTCACAGTGTTCTTCATTCTGTTAACTTTCCATGTACTTACAAGCTGAACTTTTCTAGACAAACCCATCTGCTTTTAGGACCTGCTGCGAGCGGCTCTTACATATGGCATCTTTCATACGTATCTATTCCTACCAGGCATGAGAGACATAATATATATAGGAAATAAAACCTGCAAATCAACATAAAAGGTATACAGAAACTACATACTAACAATATTGTGACATCCTAGGCAATTCCGTTTCTCATTAATTTCTGGTCCTATTTGGTCTAGGGGGACTCCTGGATTGCAGCACATGAAAAAACAAAGGATTTCTTCTGCACATGCTCAGAGATATTTTCCAATGTTTATTTCACTTCACTTTCATCCCTGCCTTTGTGGATCCAAAGGATTTGATACCAGACACCACTCATGAATTTTTGTTGTTGTTTTATTTACACAGCAAACAGTGTAAAGCAAAATAGGTTTCTATTACTGCTTTTAGCCAGCATTCCTTTGCAAGGGTTATTTACAGCTGGTAGCCACGTTCTATTCTCAGTTCTCTCTACCCAAATGTCTGATTAAAGAGCAGGGGAAAAGACAGAGAAGTAATGAATCAGAGGCTCATGTTATTTTCAAGTAGTAAAGCATTCTAAAATAAAGTATTTTTTACTAGCTATGGAAAGCTTCCTGCTTTTAACCAAATCTATCTTGTTATGTATATGGCCTAGTGTGTCAACATAAATGATGCTATGTCTGTGTTCTATTCCTATTACCTATTTAGAGATAAGAATGGGCTAATTATACTGGCTGGCATTCTCTCCCTCTCCAGCTCATACTGGCCCAGTCTCTGGCTGGTACAATTTGGTCTCCTCCACGGTGACCATCTGTGTTGAGTGTATCTTGGCAGCCCCATCTCCACTTTGATACTTTTCTCCAGAATGCACCCTCTTCTGCTTCAAATTTCTTGCCCCATGTGTCCCAAGAAAAATAACAAACCTTCAGCAATGCACAATTGTCCAGTTCATTTCAAGATACCAACCATCCTTGCTTTTCCAAAAATCCACAAGCTTCAACTGCCAGAGCTGTCTAGAATTCACCATGGTTTGCCAGCCGTTATAACTCCATCACCCTTCCCAAAGTTTCTTCTTCCCACAAATCTCTTTTTAAAGTCTCCCCAGCCAGCACAGCCCTTCCCTTCTCCTTTGGGAAAATATTCCTTTGGAAACTATACTACTTCTCACTCTGCTTCTACATGTTAGCTAACCAGAATAGTGTCCATTTGGTTTTCTGGGTGGCTACAGCACCCAGAAGAGCTAAAGAGCCATGGGCTGTCACAGTTTCCACTGGTTTTCAAACGCTTCGCTCATCAGTTCATGCTTGATGGTTTGTGATGTCCGCACAATAGACTCCTGATAGTTTTCATTCTCCTGTGTAGCTCCTGATTGGGAAGGAAGGAATTAGAAAATTATTACACAAATGAGCTAAAACTAATTTAATTAATATGCAGAGGCACAAACAATTATGAGCACACCATGTCATGGCCATGTAACACCTTTGAGCTGCACTGATTTCCAGTAGATCTCCAGGTACAATTCAGGGTGCTGGTCACCATCTACAAAGCTCTTCATGGTACAGGGCCTGGTTATCTAAGGAACCATCTGTCTGCTCATCCTCTACAAGCAGGCAGAACTGGCATGCTCCAAGTCCCCTCCAATAAGCGATGTGATGTGATGTGATGTGATGTGATGTGATGTAGCTCAGGAAAAGTGCCTTTTCTGTTGCAGTGCCTTCCCTCTGGAACAACATTCGAGATCTATTTGGTTCCCATCCTTAAAACTTGGCCATTCCCCAAGGTGATGGTTTGAGTGATGGTTCTGATGAATGGTCTTTCTTCTTCTTCTTCTTCTATTTTTTTTTTTAGATTTTTTATCCTGTCTTTCTTATTTTTATAAATAACTCAAGGCGGTGAACCTAATACTCCTTCCTCCTCCTATTTTTCCCACAACAACCCTGTGAGGTGAGTTAGGCTGAGAGAGAGGGACAGGCCCAAAGTCACCCAGCCGACTTTCATGCCTAAGATGGGACTGGAACTCACCGTCTCCTGCTTTCTAGCCTGGTGCTTTCACAACTTGACCAAACTGGCTCTCAAAACTTTTACTTGTATTTCTTAGTAATACAGTAATTTTATTATTTGCCAGCCAGATTCACCATGCAGTTGGGTAGCCTTATAAATATAATGGATGAATTTAATTAATAAATTAATGCATTTGCTATGTTTCAAGGATTTTTTTTCCTGTGACACAGTAGTAGTTGGATTAAGTAATAAATGAGAGGTAAAAAATGAACTGTAAGAAGATTAGACAAAGGAAGGAAAGATCAAACTGTTGAAAGTGACTGTGGCTCTATGGAATTTTTCCCTGCATGGTTAGTACGTTAGAAGAAATACTGACATAGCTCGGCCTTATATGGATGAATCAGAGCTACGTTCATCAGATGTAGCTGCTTTAAGTGATTGAAGAAGCTGAACCTGTTAAATGGTATATAAAACCATAATATGATCCAAGTCTGAACACATGTTCATAAAATGAAATAATCCAGAATTTGAGATGCCCCAAATGGCAATTCCCTTGTTTTTTAAACCATAAGTAGAAACTGTGAGCATCTTAATGAACTCATAGAATTTTCTACTTATTTATTTTATTCAATTTGTACACTGCCTCACTCCCAATGATTCTGGGGGGGTTGAAAGAAAACATAAAACAATACAAACAATGCAGCAATAAAAGAAGAAGCAAAGATGTCAACAAAAACACACCCACTCCTTGAAAAGGGACTACAGCCATCCTAGCCAAAGGCCTGGACAAACAGCCAGGTCTTCATGGCCTTTTGAAACACCAATAGGGTGCAAGCTACCAAACCACATATTTTTGTTCTGCAGCTGGGCTGGTCCTGAACAGGATAACATATTCACAATTTAAATAAACACGTTCCTGTTTTAAGGTTTTCCTCAATAAATTAAATCTTTCTGTATTTGCTCCTATCAAGCCTTACAAGCATTAGGATGAATACACTTAGGATTCAGGACTTAGAGGAAGAACTGTGCATTGTTCAGACCAAGGACAGACACATAGATGGAACCAAATAAATCTAGTATTTCTGTGAATTCTCACCTGAGTGGATACTTTTATGGGAAGTAAGGGAATTGCTCTTCCTGAAGCTCTTCCCATGCTCCAAGGATTTATATGATTTCTCCCCGGTGTGGATCAGTTTATGGGAACGAAGGGATCTCTTTTCACGGAAGTGCTTTCCACACTCGGTGCATTTATATGGTTTCTCCCCAGTGTGGATCAATTTGTGGGAATGAAGAGATCTCTTTTCACGGAAGCTCTTTCCACACTCGGTGCATTTATATGGTTTCTCCCCTGTGTGGATCCTTTCATGCAGAGTAAGGGAACTGTTTTGGCTGAAGCTCTTTCCACACTCTGCACATTTATATGGTTTCTCCCCTGTATGAATTCTTTTATGAGAAGTCAGGTGACTAATGTCGCTGAAGCTCTTCTCACACTCTACACATTTATATGGTTTCTCCCCTGTGTGGATACTTCTATGAGATGTAAGTTGACTGTTCCACATAAAACTCTCTCCACATTCCATACACTTATATGGTTTCTCTCCTGAATGGCTTCTTTTATGGGAAATAAGGTTACCACTTTGGCTAAAGCTCTTTCCACACTCCATACATTTATATGGTTTCTCCCCTCTGTGAATCCTTTTGTGAGAAGTAAGGGATCCATTTTCCCGGAAGTTCTTACCACATTCCAAGCATTTATATGGTTTCTCCCCTGTGTGGATACTTCTATGAGAAGCAAGGGAACTGCTTTTTCGAAATATTTTCCCACATTCCATGCATTTGTATGGTTTCTCCCCTGTATGGATCCTTTTATGAGAAGTAAAGGCACTGCTCCCCCTGAAGCTCTTTCCACACTCCATACACTCATATGGTTTCTCCCCTGAGTGGCGCCTTTTATGGGAAGTAAGACTACTGCTCGTACTGAAGCTCTTTCCACATTCTATACATTCATACGGTTTCTCTCCTGTATGGATCCTTTTATGGGAAGTAAGCTGACTGTGCCATCTAAAGCTCTTTCCACACTCCATGCATTCATATGGCTTTTCGCCTGAATGGCTCCTTGTATGGGAAGTAAGGGAACTATTCTTGCTGAAACTCTTTCCACACTCTACACATTTAAAGGGTTTCTCCCCTGTGTGAATCCTTTTATGGTAAGTAAGGGAACTGTTCTTGCTGAAGCTCTTTCCACACTCCATGCATTTGAAGGGTTTCTCCCCTGTGTGGATCCTTTTATGACAAGTAAGGTAACTGCTTTTTCTGAAGCTCTTTCCACAATCCATGCATTTATAGGGTTTGTCCCCTGTATGGATTATTTTATGGGAAATCAAGGAACTGCTGCTGCTGAAGCTTTCTCCACATTCCATGCATTTATACAGATTCTCTCCCATGTTGATACTTTCATGTATAGAAAAAGTCCGACTAGAATATTTTTTAATCTCCCTGCAGTGATATTTTTCTCCCATAGCATGGCTCCTGTAAGGTTTGTTTAAATCAAATCTGTCTTTGGATTTTTTCATGTTTTTCCCTAAACATTTTCTCTTCCTTTTTTCTCTATGGTTTTGCTTGGTAAGAAAGTCTTGAATTGGAACACATCGGAAAACTGATTTTTTATTACTCCCATTTGTGAATTGATTTCTCTCAGAACATTTTGATTCCATTTCATTTGCCAACTCCTCTTTATCTTCTGGGTGATGTGCTTGGAATTGTTGCTTGTACTTTCCACCCTCTTCCCCATGAGCTCCTTGTGCAGAGAAGAAAGAATGAAATATAGCAAGGCTAAAGAAAGGACATAAAGATTAAACTACAACCTGACTGTTTAGCATTTTTAAAGGCTATTCTGGTGACCACCATAAAATAATATCTAAGGAAAACCAAATATGCACAAGTTCACATGTATAAAATTGCACAGTATGGAAATGAATAATTTCTATTTTTGAGTAGTAGGAAACTTTTAAAAAATCTATTTATCTCATATAAACCAGCACAGCTATGTGTGTTTTCTCTGTTCTCATCCCAATAAATTAATTATACATAAGATTTTATATGAAATCTCAGCAGGTACAAGTACAAAGTAATGACAAAACAAGGGAAACAAGCCTTAAAGGATAGAACAGAGATTGGGCTGAATGGGTGCACTTCAGTTCCTATCAATTAAGCAGTGTGATCTAGCGGGATCCAGGAGGTGTGCCTTCACTCTCATGACACCTGCCCTGTGGAATGAGATCCCTCTAGAGATCTGGATGGCTCCCACCCTGATGATGTTCACGAAGCTGTTGAAAACCTGGCTGTTCTCCCAGGCTTTGGGGCAATGGGATGGTTGAGTCCCTGTTGGATTGGGGGAGGGGTTATATGTTAGTCTTTGGCCTCCTCATGATTTGTGTTTTTGTACTTTCTCTTATTTTTTTAATTTTAAGCCACCCAGAGTTGTGGGAGCTAGGGGGGACTATAAAATTTTATAAATAAATAAATAGTCAGCTAAATATAATTTGCAACCCCTCCTTTTATACCTATTGTGGACTACCAGCCATTTCCTATTCATTCTTCTCTTGCTACAGTCCCATGGTTGCAGAAAAGAAAAATTCAGTAGTTGATTTTTTAACCCCAAACACTCTGTTTTCACAGAGAAAGCCTGCAACATTTCACCCAGAATCTCAAGGCTCCCAATGAATTAGGGGTCTTCTTCACAACCATGTGAATGCACACTCCTCCAGTCCTGGAGTTGGCAGAAAAATATGCTGGTATTATTCGTGTTGCCTTGACAGCTGAGCTCTAATCTGCCATATCAATAAGACTTGGAAGTAATCCTGTGTTCTACTACAGGGCAGTTTAAGGACAGCAATAGCTAGAGTCTCCTTGTTTTGTTTCCCCTTTCACAGATGTCATCAGTCAGCACAAACACAACTGCTATCCTTAAAGTGACAAGGGACCACCTTGGGCAAGTGCCTGAGGTGGAAGCTTTATGCACTTTTCTAGCTGCCCAAATAACAGGTTATCACTGTGGAAGGGTTCTGTGCCTATAGCTTGTCATGCTAGTTAGTATGACATGGGTCTTCTGATCTTCTGGAAGATCACTAGATGGTGTCCAGAAATAATGATCTGTGGGGATAGTGGTATGGAGGAAGAGTGCAGAGTGAAAGTTCCCTCTCCTTCAGGTCCATCCTCTATCCCACAACCAGTCAACTAGATTATTTTTGGACAGAAATTTACCAGTCTTCAAGAAACCTGGAATATAGGTTTATTGATCTTCCTGTAACTTGGGCTAGGAAATTGGCAGCATTCTTGTCCTTTTCACCCCAGCTCCCAAATATCCAAAACAGATGTCTTGCAAGGGAATGGCAGTATTGTGGAAGTATCCCACAACATGCAAAATAGTGCTCAAGTACTCAAAATTCCCAGAGGAATAAAAACATTGGAAAGCATGGGGATGCAAAACTCTTTGTTGGAGGAAACAGCCAAAAATCTTTAATGCACTTCTTTGGGAAGAACCAGCAAGAAATATCTTTCCTGGTTTAAGTCTTTTTTTTTTTTTAACATACTGGTTTTTGAAAGACTGTAAACATATGTTGAAGAACAAGTCTATAAGTCTTCCAGAAGACCAGTATATCAGTGTGTAAAAGGAGCCCACACAATACTTGATACACTTGGAAAAGCAAGTTTCAGGCCCTACACTGACAGATGTCTCCATGGAAAACACGTGTCTGCTTTTTCCTCTAGCCCAGGTCAAAATGATCCTGGACAGCAGTTCACAATGACTGTGGTGGTGGTGAGGTGAAATCATGAGTCCTCAGCAGCCTTCAATGGGCAAGAAGACCTCAGTGGATGCCAGCCCTTCACTCCATCACCACCAAGGTCACAAATGAAGTGTTGTACCTTTTTTGGACGCCAAGACTCACTGCAGGAAAAGATGGGAAAATGCTACTTTAAAACTGCAACCCTAAGGATGACTTTAAGTTGCCTCCATGATGGACTGTGGAAGAGATAAGCTCTTTGTCATGAAGGCATGTCTTCTAAAAATAGACAGTGGGTCATCTCTGTGCTGAGATTAGCAGGAAATACAGATGAGCCTATAGACTTGTTTGCAAAGCTAGAATCAAAATGTCTTTAGGGACCCCTCAGCTTTCTCTATGTGCCTGGAGAAATGGGTCTCAGTGCCCTTTTGGTTTCCATGGTGCCCCAGAAACTTGATCATTATATGGAAACATTGGAAGCAGCAGCCAGAGATCAAGGGAATGTTACAAAGAAAGGCTGGAGATTAACTAAGCATTACCAATATCTATCACAGATTAAGCTAAATAGAAATGAAAACTTCTCTAATGAGAACTTTCTCATCTGTAAGAGAAATAGTCCCATGACACATCTAATTAGACACCTATTTATCTGCTCCCTTCCTTGGAGCAAGAGTAGTCTGGATTTTCTTCCTCTGCCAACAAAGAGATGAGGTCTGATTGATGAATTAGCTGGTTCCCTCTGACCACAAATGCCTCCTCTAAGTATTTGAGGGCCTAGCAGAGGTTCTTACCCAGAGAGGCCACGTTCCTGGAATTCTCCAGCATGACCTCCCCATGGAGGGCTTTTTGGTCAGCATCCAGCTGAGACCACTCTTCCTCGGAGAAATACACAGCCACCTCCTCAAAAGACACGAGACCCTAAAAATGGAAATGAAATTTCCCCATTAAAATATAGGCCAAGGAAAGATTTTCAATATCTTTGTTCACACATCTCTGAATCAGACTGCATTAAATCATAACTTCCGACACCAGTCAAACTTCTCGATGAAGAAACAGACTGAGCTCAAAGTCTTGATTGATTCTGTAGAACTTTCCATGCCGTTCAGCATGAAAGCATGAAAGCAAGCATAGCATCCTTCTGCTTTCATGGGCAGCCAGCCCTCCACCAGTCTTTCCTGGGGACTGCAGTAGGAAGGGAGTTCTTGGCTGACATTTATGGCCTTTGGTGTCCCTTGAAGGGCCAGTCCTGCCACCTTCAGGAAAGTGCTGAGAGAGCTCATCCAAAGATTTGTGCGGGGCCATCTATATGTAGACAACGTGCAGACCAATTTCTGCTTCTCCTTAGATTCCAGAAGAGCTGCTCATTGCCGGTTGGATGGAAGCTAAGAAAGTGAAGCTGGGGAGAACATTACACTGCCTTTGCAAAGATATTTGACATCCAAATCGAGGCACAAATTAGATTGCTAGAAATTACTGAGAAACTAAGTGACTCCTTTGGAGAAAGTGTTATTTAGAGGATTTTCTATTGGCAAATCCACTAGATCCTTTGTTTGTTTGCTTTTTGCCCAATAAAATAATTTTATAATGTTTGTCATAGGGCAACTCCCCAAATAAAGGATGTTTATCTTACAAACTGTAATTTGCTTCATTTTTAAAATTTGAGATGTTTTTCTTTCTTTTCACCAGTTTTAAATTATGCTTTTTTCAAACTGCAATTAGCCAAGAGGATCACTGAAGCAGTTCTGAGCAGTCTGGCAGAATGCAAATGTTTTTGGAAAGCTGAAGTAAAAATTTTCCAAGTGATTTCTAGAGGGAAGGGATGTGCCATGTTTTAACTGCCACTATGTAGCTGCTACTTTTTTCTCCTATCTCTTGAAATTATTTTTTAAAAAGTGTTAATTGAGTTATGAAGTGCCAAGAAATAAAGACACCAAGCTAATCTTGATCAAACTTGGAAGATAGGTAGGGCTGTTTGTGGTTAGTACTGATATGGAGATCATTTCGAAATCCCAGGTCTGCTGGCTAGACTGGAATTTTTTTAAAAAATTCCACAATGCTCCAAGAAATCCACATGAATGCAGTCAGCAGTCATTTAGATAGCTGTGGGGGGATCTTTACATTTCATAATAAAGTGCCTCATGAACAGAAGAGAAAATACTGAAATTCTTGAAAACATTAAATTTGGTTTCCTGGTTAGAATCTCTCAATTGAGATGTTTTATTCTATTTTACAGTTTAGAAACAGCAGTATTACACACTAGAAGCAGAAGGCCTCGATATGTCCCCCTGCAACTTCTCTGCTCTTTCTCCTCCTACCTGACCTGGAGGTCCAACCGCTCTTTCAAAGCAACTAGAAAAAGGAGAGGATCCTATAAACACCATTGACATCATCCTACTCTCTGTGAGGGAGACAAAAGCAACAGAGACATTTAAACAAAAGCATTAATAAAATATGGGGAAATATTGCACAAAAGAGGCCAGAGAGAATGAAAGATGGAACTCTGAAGGACCTTCCCCACCTCCTGAAGTGTCACAACATGGATCTTCCTTGGAGATCCCC